AGAGAGAGAGAGAGAGAGAGAGAGAGAGAGAAATGAGAAAATGAGACAGCGGACCAAGTGAGCATGTTGAGTTGTTGTGATGATACTGACACACTATGAGAGAAATAGTATGATGGGCTGATGAGTAATGGAAGTGACGAGATGAAGTTCACCGATATATTAAGGCGTTAAGTGCATGAATCGCACACAATCATCATTTTCAGCTTTGTGTTGTGAAAATATTCTCGGATATTGTTTTTGGTGTTGAACATCGTGAAGTCCAGAACATCTAAAATATTTAAATATTCTCGGACAACGGACATGAAAAGCATTCTGAATCGATTGTCACTGTATGATGAACTCAAAGCAACAGCAGTATTTCCTGCATAATTTTGAAATGTTTTGCGTCAAAAGAGTGAGCTGTTTGCGAAGTGAAGAGAGGATTCTAGACCAAATTCATGGAAGGTTTCAACATTTTCAAAATATTCACGAAGAATTTCAGTTCATAATATTTGTTGACGCTGGAATTTGAGCTGAAAATGACACCTTTCGTACAATTCGTAAGAAATGCGAATATTTTTATCAAGAATTCTTCGATTATGGATAAAGAAGTTTTGATTCATGATGATTGTTCGTAATGAATAAAGAAGTGGTGAAGTCAGAATCATTGCGACCGTACTGCGATAAAAGTCGATATAAACAATGTTATTATATTTGACAATATTTGACTCGATGTCAATGACGATGTGGCAGCGCCACCTATGGAGATTCCTTATTAAAACAAGTGGAACTATTGAGTGCGTGCACCATATAGCACGTAAATTTTCAATATGGCAGCGCCCATAGAATTGAAAAGTTAACCATTTTTGTAGTCACAAATTATCGCTGTATGATTGCGACCGAATCGACGTAATGCCCGCAGTAACTAAAACTGTGACAAAATTGTTCAGATCCGTTGGGCGACAGTTAGGTTGGGGTAGAAAAGAGCAAGTCATCCTGTCGGCAATATAGTAAAGAGAGGTTCATTCTCCTGAACGTGAATCGGCGTCAAATCATAAAAAATCGCGCATTTGTTACATATTTGGCCATGCCAGTCGGTGATAACTGTTATTAAAACCAAATGTGAATCATGTGCACCGTGGCATTGGCACACACATGCACAGCATAGACACGGCTACACAATGTTGGGCACTCTTCTTCGACTGGTTGAACAGGTAGCTTAATTGAAGCGGTTCTTCATAAGGCAATAATAATGTAATTATTCTGCACGTGTTTGCCGCATATGGTTTCGTTCGCATCACTCTGTGTGTGTGTGCCTTTGGATTATTCAACACATAAACCGTTTATCTGTATCAACTTATGTAACACTTTTAAATCGATTCACTGGAATTTAATTGTGTGTTTTGCGTTTTTCGTTTCATTTCTAACCATTTTTTTTCTATTTTTTCTCTTCGCAAACCAGTTTTGCACACACTCACATTCGGTGTTATTGTTTTTCATTCTCGTCGACGCTTCTGGATTGTGTTTAAACCGCTAAATTTTTCGTAATCCAAATATGTAGCATGAGAATCATTCTTGGTTCATACTGGCTCTGTGGTGAAACATGCAGAGAATTCGTTGAATGTGTCCAAAAACCACAACACCAGACACTATGTTTCGTAATTCGGCATGGGATTTCCATAAGAAAAACCAAAAACAAACGTTAGAATTTCAAGCATTTTTAACAAGTATCAGTTAAACACGAACATCGAATGATGCAATTCCGTACATGAAACACAATTCAACGGGCAATTAGCAGTAAATTTTCAAGATTTGACCATTCCATTTGAATTTAATGAGCAGCCGTATGGATTTCCAATCTGATTGCCATCTGTTGCACACGAAATAAATTGGCCACAGTTGCACTTCTTTTTATTACTTTTTTATTTGTTCTTTGCACATACAAAAACACACACACACACATACACCATTTGCACGGTGCATTTTGTCCCATTTCCGGGCTTATTTGTTCTTTTGTCTAATTCGCTTGTTTAGCATATTTTATCATTCGGATGCGATTTTGTTGCATTACACAATTACCAAATGCATACATTGGAAAATAACCATTTAGATTTGTCGATTTTCTTCTCTGTTGCCATTCCAATGTAGAAACGAAGCAAAAATAGACCAATAACATCGCTTGATGCCCGTTATTCGATTCGGTTGGTTCTATTCACTCGAAAACGATTGCACATATACTTACTTCGCAAATGGGAACGACGGTTTTAACCATTTTCTCTCGATTGTTTTTTTGCCGTTTAAACATAGATGCGTCAACATCTTTTCCGCCAATCACTCAATTCAACACAATTACTGATCGATTGCCGACTGTCGATCGGAAATTTTCTCTTTGGTTGCCGATTTCCACCTCAATTGCATACAAGAAAGTGCTAAATAGTATTTACCTAAATTATCAACCCAAAAATGACCGAGATTTGGATCCAACGAATATTATGCGAATATCAGAGTAATATTCGTTAAATAATTTACTGTTTTTTTGTTGCATGAAATGACTTAAATAGTTACACAAGTGGTGCAATGACATCAAAACCATTGAAAAGAACTAAGAAAAAAAACGTTTTTCAAGTTCATGCAGCAGATGTCAATCTCTTCAGCCCGTTTTCGATCATTTGTTTTCTTTTTCGAGAACACTTCCATAACTAATAACGTATTCTGTTCTATATTTTAAATGATGTTTTAAATTAGATTTTATTCTTCGCTCTCGTAATATTCTTTGTACACTCTATGTAGCTGCGTCTGTGTCGTGTTACTTTCAGACTTCATACTTTATTCAAATATTCTCTCGTTCCGCCCGATCATTTTTCCATTTGCGCTCCGGAGAGATTTATGCACAACCATTTCAATCACGGTCTACTGGATCTCGTAACATTTGCTTTTATTGAATAAATAATTACGTTTTTATTCGTATTCGTGTGTAAAACACCACAGAATACGATTTGGTTGTCTTAAGAGATGAGACGGCTAATTGATTTCCAGCGCAGACCCATGTTGCGATTTAAATAAATCATTTGAATAGCTCGCCGTATAAACGATACAAATGAAGTGAATTGTCAAAAGGGGCGTTGAAACAGCAGCAATTTCGATGTTTTTGTTCTTTATTTGAATTTTTTTCATGTTTTTCTGGGGAAAAAAATGATAGAGGAACACATTAATT